GAGCAATGGGCAGTAAACTAGAGTAATGGGCAGTAGAGTAATGTGCAGTGAGGTAGAGTAATGGGCAGTAGAGTAATGGGCAGTAATGTAGAGCAAAGGGCAGTAAAGTAGAGTAATGGGAAGTAACATAGAGTAATGGGCAGTAAAGTAGAGAAATGGGCAGTAATGTAGAGCAATGGGCAGTAAACTAGAGTAATGGGCAGTAGAGTAATGTGCAGTAAGGTAGAGTAATGGGCAGTAGAGTAATGGGCAGTAATGTAGAGCAATGGGCAGTAAAGTAGAGTAATGGGAAGTAACGTAGAGTAATGGGCAGTAAAGTAATGGGCAGTAATGTAGAGTAATGGGCAGTAAAGTAGAGTAACGGGCAGAAGAATAAAGGACAGTAGAATAATGGGCAGTAACATAGAGTAATGAGCAGTAAAGTAGAATAATGGGCAGTAGAGTAATGGGCAGTAGTGTAGAGTAATGGGCAGTAAAGCAGTGAAATGTACAGTAGAGTAATGGGCAGTAAAGTGGGGTAATGGTGATAAAGAAGTGTGATGAGCAGTACAGTACTGGGCAGTAATGTAGTGTAATGAGCAGTAGAGTAAAGGGCTGTAAAGTAGATAAAATGGGCAGCAAAGTAAAGTAATGGGCAGTGAGGTGTTGTAATGAGCAGTAGAGTAATTGGCAGTAATGTGGTGTAATGAGCAGCAGAGTAATGGGCAGGACAGTAGTGTGCAGTAATGCAGTGTAATGAGCAATAAAGTAATAGACAGTAATATAGTTTAATGAGGAGTAATGAACAATAATGTACAGGGCAGTAATGTAGAGAATAGGCAGTAGCATAATGGGTAGTAATGTAGTGTAAAAGCAATAGAGTATTGGGCAGTAATGTGTAAAGAGCTGTAATGAGCAGTAATGCAGAGTAATGGGCAGTAATGTAGCCTAATGAGTATTAGAGCAATGGGCATTAATAAAGAGTGATAAGAGAGTAATGGGCAGTAATGTGTTGTAATGAGCGGTAGAGTAATGGATAATGAACAGTGGAATAATATTAATGTAAAGTAATGACCAGTATGTAATGAGTATTTGCAGTAAAGTACAGTTAAGATCAGTAATACAGAGTAATGAACAGTTAAGGTGAGTAATAGGCAATAATTTACAGTAATGGACAGTAGCATAGTGTAAAGACTAGTTGTTTAAAGGGCAGTAATATAGTTCAATGAACAGTATAGTAGAGTAGTTTACGGGAGTGTGAAGAAATACATATTAGAGTGATAGGCAGTAATGTACTGGAAATTATGACAAAGTAGAGTAATGAACAATTATGTACTGTAATGGACAGTAGAGCAATATAATATAGTAGTGTAATAAATAGTAAAGTGAAATACAGTAATGTAGAGTAATGGACAGTAATATGATGATTAATGTTAATCTAATGCAATGTCAAATAAAGAACAGTCCAGTAACAGATCATTTTTTAAAGTTCTGGGCTGTAACATTGAGTAATAAGCAGAGTAATTTACAGTAATGTAGCACATTAAATAGTAAAGTAGAATTATAAACAGTAGTGTTAACAGTAAAATAAATTAGAATAGTAGAGAGTACTGTGGATTAATGAGTAATGTACAGTACTGCAACAAACATAAAAATAATAGAACGTACAGTAGCTTAATAAACAATAATGTAAACTAGAACAGAATCTAACAGTAATATTAAACAATGAATGTAACGTAGAATAATTAATATTAATGAAGAGTATTGTAGACTAATCCTGCAGTAATGTAATGTAGCCAAAATGTAGAGTACTAAATATTAATGAATAGTGATTTAGCATAGATTAATGTAACCATAATGTAGAGTAATAAACAGTAAAACAGAGAAATAAATACTAATGAAGAGAACTGTAGAGCACTATAGAGTATTAAATAGTAATAAACAGTAATGTAGAATAATAAATAGTGAACAGTAGTGTAGATTAATCCTGCAATAGAATAGTGTAGCCTTATGGTAATGAACAGTAACATAGAGTAATGAATAGTAACTAACAGTGATGTAAAATGATCTAACAGTAACATAAAGTAATGGAATCATAGCATAATCAACATGAACTGAGAGTAAGGAATAGTAATGGAGAGTAATGCAATCCTGGAGACCCCATGCTACTCCCTACTCTATACACCTGACCCAGCCAACAAGGTGCTTGTTAATTAGTAAATGAGTTGAATCAGATGTGCAGGCAAAGCTTAAAAATGTGCGTACTGTTTATACCAGGACAACTGGGAACTCCTGGCATAATCAACAGATGCAGAGTGATGAGTAACAGAGAGTAATATAGAGTAGGATAAGAGTAATAAACAGTAATGAAGAGTAATCCTGCAGTTAAGTAGGGTAATGTGGCCATAGACTACTGAACAGTAATGCACAATAATACTGCAATTAGGCTGATTAATGTGACCATAGAGTAATGAACAGTAATGAAGGTTAATGAGTAGTTTACAACAGAAATGTAGTGATCTAGAAGTAACCTAGAGTAATGGATCCATAGTGTAAAAAACAGAGAGTAATGAGTAGTAAAAGAGAGTAATATATAGTAAGTTAATAGTAAAATAATGTACATAAAGTAAGTGAAGTAATATGCAGTTAAGTAATGTGATCATAGAGTGATGAACAGTAATGTACAGTAATCCTGTAGTCAAGAAATGTGACCATAGAGTAAGGAACAGTAATGTGGAGTAATCCTGCAGTTGAGTAATGTGGTCATAGAGTACTAAACAGTAATGTAGAAGTTCCCTTCAGTAAAGTAATGTGACCACAGAGTCATAAACAGTAATGCAGAGTAACCCTTCAGTAAAGTAGAGTAATGTAACCATAGAGTAATGGACAGTAAAGTAATCCTGCAGTTAAATGGAGTAGTGTGAACATAGACTAATGAAGAGTAACACAGAGTAACCCTTTAGTAAAATAGAGTAATATCAGCATAGAGTAATGAACAGCAATATAAAGTAATGAAGAGTAATGTAGAGTAACCTCTCAGTAAAGTGATGTAAAGAATAGTGATGAACACTAGACTAGAGTTGCAGTTAAATAGAGTAATGTGACCATGGAGTGATGAACCAAAATGTGGAGTAATCCTGCAGTTAAGTAGACGTAACGTGATCATAGAGTAATGAACAGTAATGTGAAGTAAACTTCCAGTAACATAGAGTAATGTGGCCATAGAGTAATGGACAGTAAGTAACATAACCATTCAGTAGAGTAATGTGACCATAGTGTAATGAACAGTAATGTAGAGTAGCCCTTCAGAAAAGTAGAGTGATGTGACCATAGAGTATTGGACAGTAATGTAGAGTAATCTGTCAGAAAGTAGAGTGATGTGACCATAGAGTAATGATCAGCAATGTAGAGTAAACCTTCAGTGAAGTAGAGTAATGTAACCATAGAGTAATGAACAGTAATATGGAGTAACTCTTCAGAAAAGTAGAATAATGTGACCATAGATTAATGATCAGTAATGTAGAGTAACCCTTCAGTAACATAGAGTAATATGACCATAGAGTAATAAACAGTAATGTAGAGTAACCCTACAGTAAAGTAATATGACCATAGAGTAATAAACAGTAATGTAGAGTAACCCTACAGTAAAGTAATGTGACCATAGAGTAATAAACAGTAATGTAGAGTAACCCTACAGTAAAGTAATATGACCATAGAGTAATAAACAGTAATGTAGAGTAACCCTACAGTAAAGTAATGTGACCATAGAGTAATAAACAGTAATGTAGAGTAACCCTACAGTAAAGTAATATGACCATAGAGTAATAAACAGTAATGTAGAGTAACCCTACAGTAAAGTAATGTGACCACAGATTAATGAACAGTAATGCAGAGTAAGCCTTCAGTAAAGTACAGTTAGGTGACCATAGAGCAATGGGCAGCAACATAGAGTAATAAATAGTAATGAACAGTAATGTAGAGAGATCCAGCAGGAACGTAGAGTGATGGAACTATAATATAATTGATAGAAACAAAGACTAATGAATGTCAATGAAGAGTAATGTAGAGTGATCTAGCAGTAATGTAATGTAATGTAACAATAGCATAATCAAACGTTACATAGAGGATTGAACAGCAATAAATAATAGAGTAAGATGAGAGTACTAAACAGTAATAAAGAATACTGTACAGTAATGTAGAGTAATAAACAGTCATTTAGAGGAATATATAATGATATAAAGCACAGAATTGTAATGAACAGTAATGTTCATTGATTCAACAGTAACACAGAGTATTGAATAGTAGCGTAGAGTAATGTAGAGTTAGATAAGAGTAATAAGCAGTAATGAACAGTAATGTACAGTAATGAACAGCAGCAATGAGCTCAGTGGCCCTAACAGCTCACACACACTCTGGCCAGTTTAGCAGAGACATTTTTATTGCTAAGATGTGTCATTATGGCAGTTTACACTGATAAGCTTCAGGATTTTCTCTCTTCTTTCAAGTAGATTTTCTGCTAGAATTTCTCTTCTATCCTCCCTTTATTATCTAAACTCACAACACATACAACAATAAATAAAACATACACATTTATTTACTTTTTACTAAAATACTATATGATTTCCAAAAGCTGAGTTCACTCTTTAAAATATAGAATCTTCTCCTCCACGTCTCGTCACCATTATGAGTATTATTATTATTATTATTATTATTATTATTATTATTTGTTGAGATTAAAATCTCCTATAGGCAGCACTGCAGTGAGTGAGCGAGCGGTGGAGAGGAAGTAGCTCCTCCCCGGAGCGGAAATGACGCATGGTCCTGTTTCATTTCTTTTCAAAAAAAGAACACATAAACAACAAAAATCATAGCTGCATTCATTTCATACTTAAATATGTACAATATGGTGCTATTCTGAATCAAAACGCTATAAAAAAATAGATTCGCTATATGGCGCCACAAATAAACAGTGCAATAGAAACAGTTTATAATTATTATCAATTATTATTATTATTACTATTATTATCATTACTATCGTCATCATTATTGTTGTACTCTTCAGTCTCTTCAGTCCGTCTCCTGATGGACGCACGAGCACACATGACCTCATTCTCTCACTTTTTTTTCCACGCACGCACGCACACTCACTCATCCTCTTACTCTCTTCTTTAACGCATGCACGCGCACACATGCTCTCCTCCTCTCTCACGCGCACACATTCTCCCATTCCTCTCTCAACACACGCACGCGCAAAACATCGTTTACTTCTCTCGCTCTTGAGGCAGGCACGCGCACACTCACACGCACGCGCACCCATCGCTTACTTCTCTCGCTCTGAACACAGGCGCGCGCTCGGTTTCGCTCATTCTTTCACACACACACGCACGCGCACACATCCTCAGTCTCTCTCGCGCTCATCCCCGCGCATGCACGTGCCCCCAGCTCAGCAGGAGCACTTGCACTCGGAGATGATGGGGTACTGCACGGGGATCCAGGTGCAGTACTTCTGCCGCAGGAAGCCCTGGCAGTACCAGCGCAGGAAGGTCTTGGTGACGGATTTGACGGGCTTGCAGAACATGCCCTCGGGCAGGGAGCACGAGCGCTCACTGAAGCAGGTGCCCTCCTTGATGTAGCGCGGCCAGAAGCGCGCGCCCAGGTCCTTCCAGCCGTACAGCACGGGGCAGTGCGTGTACGTCCACAAGAATTGCACCAGCTTCCGGCGCGCCTTCTTGCCCAGTGTGAGGCGGGCGCCGTAGGGCGTGGCCGTCAGGTCCAGTCTCCGGAAGTCCGCGGGCACCGCGCCGGGCGGCGACGGGGGCGCCCGTGCGCTGACGTTGAGCTGCAGCGGCATGCCCACGGACATAAAGCTGGGGTCGAAGTGGCTGCCCAGCTTCTTGCGCAGCGTCCGCTCATTCAAGTCCTGCTCGCGCGGGTCGTACTCCGGGTCGGGGTCCTCCTTCAGGTCCGGGACGGGCAGGTGGTCGCTGGGCGACGGGCGCAGGCGCAGGTTGCCCGCTTCGCCGGCGCCAAGCAGCAGCAGCAGCAGGAATCCCATGATCCTGCGCGGGAATCCCATGGCTGGATCGGTGCGTGTCTCCGGGCAGGCGGGGGTTCTGTCCGGCTCACTGCGGCATAAATAGTCCGAGAGACAGCACGAGCAAGGCGATCCTTTTAATAGAGCGTGTGAGCGGTTTCAATGACACGCAACCGGGAGCCGGGCGGCTCGCTTTATCCGGGTCCCTGGGTCCTCCTTCCGCTCCTATATATATCTGTACATATAAAGGTGATGCAATCCGCGGGTGATAAAAAATAAATAATGAAAGTATTGGCAAATATGATAATATCAGAGATGTGAAGCGGATCGGTCTCCTCTTCCTCTCTTTAGCTTTAACCTTTGTTCAAAAACAGTTGCAGCAGCTTCTCTAACAGAACGAGCTTCCGAACTTTTAGACCTCTGAAACTCGCAGACTTTATCAGCAGCAATGCAGAAACGGTCCACACTGTTCTTTCAAACAACGGCCGAACTTTTTCGGCTCCTCGCGCCCGCGCGCGCGCGCCCTTCTTCAGCAGCAGCCGGTCACCATGGCGACGCGGTGGCGGGGGTGAGACTCCGCGGCTCGCGCGCGCACCACAACCAGCGGCGACGGAGAGTCTTCCTCTGAGGCTCGTCGCGCGACATTGGAATGAAGGAGACGCGCGCGCGCCCCCCTCCCCTCCTTCGTCCGCTCTCTCTCTCTCTCTCACTCACTCTCCCGCTCTCTCTGGCGCTCTCTCTTACCCCGGATGCGCGCGTGCTGTCTCTGGGCGTCCCGGTAAATGTCACACAGACTCAGTGTCCCAATGTTATTTTTACGCTCTCTCTCTCTCTCTCTCTCTCTCTCTCTCTCTCTCTCTCTGTCTCTTTCCAGGCTCCAAGCTGTCCCGAGATGAGCGCGCGCAGTATTCAGTATTCCTCCCTCCTCCAGTAACGGGAACGTGCCCCTCTCTCTCGAGCGCGCGCGCTCTCCCCCTTCACTTCATTCCACGCGGGTGTTTTCTGTCTGGACTTCCTCTCTCTCTCTCTCTCTCTCTCTCTCTCTCTCTCTCTCTATCTCTCTCTCGCTCCTTCACATGCCGCGCACTTGTGCATGTGCGCGCGCCTCGCGCCTCTCTCGCGTCGGCTGTCCCCTCATGGCCCCCTCGCGCTGGTTGTGTCGGTCTGTCTGTCCCGTGCAGAGTTGTAACAGTGAGAGAGAGAGTGTGTGTGTGATGGTGGCTCGCGCTCTACTGGAGCTCCAGAGGAGTGCGCGTGGGGTTTGTGCGGAGCGCTCCGCGTGCTCCCAAGTTAAATACACCCCCCTCCTCCTCCCCTCCTCCTCCTCCTCCTCCTCACTCAACCACCCCCCGACCCACTCCAACCCAGCCCACCAACAACACGCTCAGCCTGACTGACAGCACACACACACCGCGCGCAGGGGAAAATATCGGCCACAGTTTCGCTGGAAGCCCCGCGAGCTCCTGCAGACGGCGATTAACGAACAATAATCACACGCGCGCGCGCTCGATCGGACTCGGGATTTTCGATATCTTGCGCATTCAGGCATTAATGAGAAACTTTGCGCCGCCAGTTTTCTTTATTTCGCCGCAACCGCGCGGCTCCACGAGTTTTCCACAAGTCTGAGTGGCGCGCGCGCGCGCGCACACACTCACACACACACACACACACATGCACACACACGAGACATAAACCCACACAGACACACACAAACACACACACACACACAGCAGAGAGGACGATCAGAGTCAGACAGAGAGAATTTCCTGCCCAGGGCGCGTGTGTGGCCCGGTCCACGCGCGTCAACTTCAGGGTCACCCAGAAAGCACGTGCAATTAAACTTTTAAGCGGTCACGAGAAGCGACGCGTCACCCTGAGTCATTAACACTGAACAGGAACCGCACTTTCGCGCGCTGTCGGCACCACGTGAACCCCCAGTGTCTAATCTGATTGATCGTCTGTAATTAATTGCTGACCAAGGCCGGAGTGCGCGAGCTTCCTGCGCCAGCTCGAGCCGCGTGTGTTCAGCGAGTGCGGCAGTACCGTCCTGCAGCCGCTAGAGGGCAGCGCGCACACCAGCTCCACTCACTCCATACTGACTCCACTCTCACAGCAACAGATACCTAACCAGCACACAGCACAACCGAGTTCTACCAACACAGACCTCTCACAGACACAGAGTCGCTTCCAGGGGCATCACCAGAGGCTTATGGATGGGGCTAAGCCTGGACTGGGGGTCTGGGGCTCTTGGTCCTCCAGCAGAATTACAACCCCACTTCCAAAAAAGTTGGGACGCTGTATAAAATGTAGACAGTAAATATAAACAGAATGCAATAATTTGCGAAACTCATAGACCCATATTTTATTCTCAGTAGGACTCAGAACATATCAGATGCTGAAAGTGAGACATTTTACCATTTCATGAAAAACATTAACTCGTTTAGAACTTGATGGCAGCAACGCATCACACGCGTCTACCGTTGTGTAGCATCCCCTCTTCTTTGAACAACAGTCTGTAAACATGTGGAAAGTGAGGAGACCGACTGCCGGAGTTTTGGGAGAGGAATGTTGTCCCATTCTTGTCTGATGTAGGATTCTTTTTCATTTCATGATGCACCAGATGTTTCTATTGGTGAAAGGTCTGGACTGCAGGCCAGTTCAGCACCCGGACTCTTCTTCTGTGAAGCCATGCTGTTGTGATGGATGCAGTATGTGGTTTAGCATCGTCCTGCTGAAATAATCAAGGCCTTCCCTGAAAAAGACGTCGTCTGGATGGCAGCATATGTTGCCAAAACATGTATATATCGTTCAGCATTAATGGTGACTTCACAGATGTGCACTTCACCCAGGCCATGTGCACTAATGCCCCCCTACACCATCATGAATACTGGCTTTTGAACTGTGCACTGATAACAAGCTGAGTGGTCTTTAGCCCAGAGGACACAGTGTCCATGATTTCCATAAAGAGTTTCAAATGTTGGTTCGTCGGACCACAGGACACTTTTCCACTTCCACTCAGTCCATTTTAAATGAGCTCAGGCCCAGAGAAGGTGGCAGCGTTTCTGGATCCTGTTTATATTTGGTTTCTTCTTTGTGTTTTAGCGTTTTAACTTGCATTTGTGGAGGCAGTGATGAACTGTTTTCACAGACAGTGGTTTTCAGAAGTGTTTCTGAGCCCATGCAGTGATTTCCACTACAGAATCATGTCTGTTTTTAATGCAGTGCTGCCTGAGGGCCCAAAGATCACGGCCAGCAAATACTGGTTTTTGGTCTTGTCCCTTACATACAGAGATTTCTCCAGATTCTCTGAATCTTTTAATGATATTATGAACTGTAGATGATGAAAAGCAGAAGTTCTTTGCTATTTTAAGTTGAGAAACGTTATTCTTGAATTGTTGCACAACTTTACCAGCCTTTTGTTGCCCCGTCCCAACTTTTTTGGAACGTGTTGCTGGCATCAAATTCAAAATGGGCAAATATTTTTCAAAAAACAATAAAATTTATCAGTTTCAACATTTTATATGTTGTCTTTGAAGCATTTTCAATGAAATATAGGGCTTAAATGATTTACACATCATTTTGCATTTTGTTTTTATTTACATTTTGCACAGCGTCACAACTTTTTGGGAAATTGGGTTGTATTTTAATGGCCCCAAAATGTCTGTTCATCATGAACTTTGAGTAGCAACAGCCAGAAAATTGATTAAAAAATGTCTATTTGGTCAAATAGACATGCAGTAGATCTGTCTGTCTGTAGTTGGTATTAAGCTTAGAACAAGTATGACTGAGGAAATTCTCACATCTGAAAGTCTGGACTAAGGTCCGAACCGAGGTTCACGTTTTTGTTACACTGTATACATTTGATCCAGTTCATTTTGTTTTCACATTGCAATTTAGCCAGTGCACACCTACATCCTGTCATCACCACCTACCACTCTGATGTGATTGGTTTAATTCTTACAAGTTTTTTATGATTGGCTTACAATTTATGAGCTCTGATATGAACTTACAAGGTCTGGTATGATTGGCTTACAATTTACAAGGGCTGACATGATTGGCTTACAACTTACCAGGTCTGATATGATTGGCCAAGCCGGGGTTCTACTTTTCACATTAGCGGTCACATAGCTGACCGAGTGCTGAAGCAAAGAGCATGGAAAAATCATCTGTCCTCAGTTACAACTCTCTCTATCAAGTTTCAAACTGCCTTGGATTTCCATAGCTACCACAGTGGCCAAGCAGCTGCACACATTACCATGTGCAATGCCAAGCGTCAGCTGGCATGGTGTAAATCACACCACTACAAGGACTCTCGGGCAGTGGAAACTGGTTCTCGAGTGATGAATCACTCTTCACCATCTGGCAGGCTGGTGGATGAATTTTATGTAGGACACCAGGAGTGAACACTATAAAGTTTGGTGGAGGAGGAATAATGGGCTATTCCATTATATGGGCAGTTCACTTTATAGAGAACTGTGTGGATTCAGGTTTGTGGACAAGACCTTTTCCTGCTTCAGCAGGACGATGCTCCCTGTACACAAGGCCAGCTCCTAAAATAAATGGTTTAGTGAGTTTGGCGTAGAAGAAACTGACCTCAACACCATCTAACATTTTTGGGCTGGATATCTCAGTCAGTAGAGCATCATACTTATAATCTCAAGTTCAAGTTCCTGTTTGGGTAAACAAATAAGTTGCAGTGAGTTACACCTTGATTTCAGGCATAAAGATCTGTTGGCAAGTCTTCTAAACTACATTTGCCTATGTCTTTTGTTTTTCACATGATTACAGAGGTAACGATATATGCCACTCTGGATAAGAGCATCTGCCAAAAAATGTAAATATAAATGGTAAGAAGGACACCAGCCATGATCCAGGCCTTATGGCCCAAATTCAGTACCTGACCTCTTTAATGTTCTTGTGGCTGAATGTTATCAAACCCTCACAACAATGTTCCAACATCTAGTGTAAAGCTTTCCGAGAAGCGTAGAGGCTGTTACTGCAGCAAATGAGTAAAGTCAGTGGTTGTGGAGTGAGATCTGTAACAAGCACATATAGATGTCGTGTTCAGGTGTCCACATACTTTTGGCCATGTAGTGTAGGTGAGTGTGAATTATACTCCAGCGTCTTACCCTCCTTTCTGCCCTCCGTCCCCATCGCTGCAGACAGAAGGAGATGGAGACAGAGAGAGACAGAGTGGTTGGGGTGGGGGGCAGTATGTGTGAGTGATTATTGTGGTCTGTACAGGCCGGGCTTCTCTAACGAGGTTAGGGTGGGGGGTCAGGGGGAAATTGGCCGTGTAGAACAACAGGACTTACCCAGCCGGACGCCCGCCGCTTTCACACCCGCATACAACTCAATACAGACCTCGGCCAGGGGTCAGCTATGCCACATACCGAACTGAGAGAGAGAGAGACAGAGAGAGAGGGAGAGAGAGAGAGAGAGACATTCTGTCTATGCAAACAGAGCTTCAATTGAAGAATAAAAAAGGAAGAAAAGAAACCTGGGGAGTCCAGCAGCATGGGACACATGCACTCTCTCTCTCTCTCTCTCTCAAGCCCAATTCCAAAAAAGCAAAAAAGTTGGAACAGTAGGAAAAACGTAATTACTAACAGACAGCAATGATTTGCAAATCCTTTTTGATCTGTATTCAATTGAAATCAGTACAAGATATTTAATGTTTCAACTACTTTGTTGTTTTTGTATATACACACTTATACCAAATGTGATGCCTACAACATGTTCCAAAAAAGTTGGGACAGGCCATGTTTACCACTGTGTTACATCACCTTTCCTTTTAACACCGTTCAGTAATCACCAGGGAAGTGAGGAGACCAATAGTTGTAGTTGTGAAAGTGGATTTTTTTCTGATTCTTGCTTGATAAAACACTTCAGCTACTTGACAGTCCGGGGTCTTCATTGTTGTATGCTGTGCTTCATAATGCACCACACATTTTCAATAGGAGACAGTTCTGGACTGCAGGCAGGTCAGTCTAGCACCTGCCACACTGTTGTAACTCGTGCAGAACGTGGCTTGGCATTGTCTTGCTGAAACATGCAGGAATGTCTCTGAAAAAGACATCATCAAGCTGGAAGCAAATGGTGCTCCCAAATGGATATGTACCCCCAGCATTAACCCCTTCAAATCCTAGGCTTAAGTATTCATTATTATTATTATTCAGTAACTACAAACTAGCTGTTTATAGAAGGTTATCTTGGGACTATGGTGGTAACTTACCCACCCTGTGAGTCCATCTTAGTGGGTCAGTCCATCTTAGATGAGATTTAGCAGAGAGAAGTCGGTGACGGTTCTGGACGGTGTTGATATTTAGCTTCCACTTTGTATAGTAAAGTCTTAACTTGCATTATCAAATGCAGTGATGAGCCGTGTTTACTGGGTTTTCCGAAGCCCATGTGGTTATATTCATTACAGAATCACGTCAGTTTTTAATGCAGTGCTCTCTGAGGAATTGAAGGCCACAGTGTTGGTTTTCAGTCTTGCTGTTTCAAACTTTCACCCATCTTGCCCTTAAACAACTGAGCTTGAATGAATGCTCTTTTATACCCTATCATGATAGCATCACCTGTCATCTACTGGCCTATTTATCCTAAAACTTACCAGTCTCAGCTCTTGGCTCTTTCGTCAACATTTTTGGAATGCGTTGCAGGTATTCAATTTCTAAGTAGCATTTATTGA